CTAATCGGACTCTCACACACACACTCCTACACTCACAGCAACATGTGATTGAAGCTACACTGAAACAGAAAAGTCAGCACACAAATGTCCTTTAAGTTTCCTTAAAGTGTCCTAAACTTAAAGGACATTTGTGTGCTGACTTTTCTGTCTCTTTTTGTGCACCTGAGACTGTGCTTACAATCGAGTGTGCTCCTTTTTTTATTTTTTATTTTATTTTATTTTTTACTGTTTTTGAATCTACGGTGACCAGCTCTTTAAAGAAAATACATTTTTAAACTTAAAGTAATTTTTTACGATACTGTTTTTAAAGATGTATGATGAACAAATCTCCAGTCTGAGGACGTGTTGTCCGCCATTGCACTGCACTGAAAAGTGTATTATTTGATATGCTTGTGCACGATAGGCCCTGAATACACACATGCACAAACAGAACCTGTGGACATGCATTAGTGGAGAGATGCGGCTGCTACACAGGGAGCGCACCAGAGCTGCTGAAACAAACAGAAAAACAAACATCTGGTTACACAAAGACAAAAGCACACACAGCATCTAAATATCTCGCTGTGCATGGAACAATATTTGCAGTTGATGACAAAGAGAACATCCAACAGAGGTCGACCTTGGTTCATCGTGTACATTTGATTTATGATCGGGACATCAGTGCATTGTGATGGTTCTGGATATGTTCTGTGAGACGTCCTGAGGTGTTCATTAACGGACTCTCAAAGCGAAATAGTGGTTACTGTTACACCACATTTAAAAAAAGGGATCAGATATGTTCTTCATGTTTTCATCTTTACATAAATGAAACTTGTACACAGGTGAACGTTTCTGACAACTGTCAAGGTTTTCAGAGAGTCTTTCTCTCCTCATTTAAACATTTATCCAGTGCACAAGATAACCTTCTGCACACGGTTCTATTTTAGGACTAGGTGATATAATCCTTGTAACCTCATCATGGTTACCATCACCCTGCTGAGGGTTACCGGGGGGGGGGGTACCATGGGGGTACTTGAGGCAGGGGATGAAGGGAACTTGTGCCCACAAGATAATGACTTGTAGGAACATGATCATCGACTTGTGCGCACTAGATTTATTCTTTTTGGGGACTCAGGGTCTCATTATTTCTCAAGGTTTTGAAGCTGAAGTGAAATTGATCAAATCTTGTGATCAACAAATCATGGAAAAGGCTCAAAGAACACCAGAATGAAGACGTTTGGACCAAAAACTCTTGTTATGTTTTTAATGTTTGTGATATTCCCCACGTGACGTGTAATCTAACTGACACATCCTGACAGCTACACAGATACATGAGATGTATGTGTAGAGAAAAAGGATATAAAGATATTGTATAATATTTTGGGTTTCAGCGTGTGATGATGATATGAGGTGTGTGAAACAGAAGGACAGAGCAGGTGTTCCCCTCCTCTCTCACTCGCTCACAGATGGAGAGAGAGAGAAGCGAGAGCGGGTGCGTTTAAGGACCAATGAACACGATAACAGGTTCAGTCCATCTGTCCATCCTTTGGTGTCACACTGAGGTCTAAATCTCAACATTTGGCACACACAAGAATACAAACAAACACACACACACACACTACGCATGAGAGATCCAGCTGGGATGGAGCCAAAAAGGAGAAAATTATTCATGCAGGATCTGTGAATCATCCTGGGTTTGCTTGACAGAAATAAACAAACTTACTAAGGTCCTGTTCTGGAGGCTGTTAATGTTAGCTTGTCTTCCCCTTCTCTCCTTTTTTCTTTCCTCTCTTTGATCTCGGCAAATTCCTCCCATCATTACTTCTCCTTTTCTCTTCTTTCTTCTGCTTTTCTTTCTTTCCTTCCTTCTCCGTTTTTTCCCCGGTTTCCTGCAGGATGTTCCTGGCTCTGCGTCGGTGTGAGACACTTACAACCAAGTGCGAAGTAAAGGAATTTGGTCTGTTAGATTAACTCAGTGGATCAGGATGAGGGCTGCGCTGTAACCAAAGGTGCCTCAGGGGTCAGTCCTGGATCCCCTCCTAATCATTCTGTATTTAAATAACAGAAATCTGAATGTTTCTAATTCAAAGGTATCTTTTTACGCTGACGACTCGGTCATGTACTTTACAAAATCCACTCCAGATCAAGCCCTCTGCCAGATACAACTTGCTTTTAACACTGTTCAACATTTTTTTAATGATTTAAAACTTGTTTGAAATGCGGACAAAAGGAAAGTCGTGCTGTTTCAAACGCCTTTCATCTCCACTTCTGAGGGTGCACAGATCGAGTCTGTTTGGAGCTACATATATCTTGGTATTTTAATCGATGACTCACTCTTTAACACCTCACATTCAGCAGATGGTAAAAAGACTGAAATTGGGTTCATACTTTAGAATCAAATCCTTTCCTTTCTTTTGAAGGTGAAAAGATGCTGATTGCTGCCACTTTTTTATGTCCATACTGGACTACAGTAATGTTTTATACATGCACGTCTCTTCTCAGAGCGGACGTTCTCTGTAGCTCTGAGGGTCACCCCTATTATTTAAACTCTCACTTATCACTGTTTGTTGTATGCAAGTGTTAGATGCTCTCCATAGACTTAAACATTTTTATTTATCCATTATACTTCTTTACAAAGCTGCTTAACGCATTACAAATAGTCCTGTAACTTAACAAGCTGCTCTCATTAGATGCTTCTAAGAGGATGTTTCACCTCTCTTAGCATGTCCGCCCTAAAACCGTCTCCAGTCAATCCAGAATGCTGCTGCTCGATTACTCACCAGGTCTCACATCACTCAGATACTGAAAACACTGCACTGACTCCCTGTGGCATATAGGATTGAGTTTTAAACTTCTCATTCTCACCTTCAGAGCCATTCACGGTCAGGCCCCACATTATCTGTCAGAACTCATTCACCCGTATTCACCCACCCGTTCACTAAAGTCAAACACCCTACACCATGCTGTCTGTCCCGCAGACACATTTTAAGACTCATGCGTTTCAGTCCATAGCACCGATCCGATTTGGAATTCTCTACCCATCTCGCTACGTCTTTCTGACTCTGTTGAGTCTTTTAAAAACGTTAATGTTTAGACAGGCCTATGGGTAATCAGGTCCACCCAGCGTATCTACTCATCTATGTTTTATTGTTCCTGGTTACAGCAGGATTTTATAATGTCGTCCATGACATACTATTTTTTTTTCTTCTTCTTTCATTGTAAGTATGCTGTTGTTGTTCTTTGTTGACATAAATAAACTTTAATATTATTATTATTATTATTATTATTATGTTAAAGGACTTGGAGGCAGACACATCTAATTGTTGATGTTCTCCCTGATATGTTTTTGGTTATGGCGGATGTTTGCTGGTTTGATTTGTTAATTCACGTCTTTTTTATGTATTATTAAGTATCAGTTTGTCGCTGCTGGTTGTTTGTCAGAAACTTAGTTCGCTGCTGAATGTCTCGACCAGGACCAAGATATTTTAATCCCACGAAGTTTTTCCTGGTTAAATAAAGTTTTTAATTCTTTTTTTAATGCCGTCTTCTGCAGAAATCAGAAGCTCAGGTCTTCATTGTTCTTCTCTGAGAGAGATGTTAAAGAAGCCTGAGAAAGTATTTATCAACAAGAGATGATTTGTCGCTTCTGAAACTTCTTCACTTCACCTCCATGCTCCTTTTTTTATTATTGATGAACTCAATTAAGATTGTATCTGTGTGCAATTGTTTATCCTCCTCTGTGCTTCTCTCCGTTGTTGCTCTCTCTCTCCTTCACACTTTCCTTCTCCGCTGTTTCATCCTCGATTCCCAAAGTCAGACTCAGTGTTACTTTTATTTTAACATGTCCAAAAGAAAATTGACCTCGGTTGTAAAGAGTAAAATAAAATGAAAATCATCTTAAATGACAAATATGTGACAGAAGATGAACACAATCTGACTTTAAATACAGCAAAACATCAGGTCCACCGACAAACATTTACTGTACATCCCTAATTCTCTCTTTTCCTGTTCCCTCGGTTTGCTTCAGATTTTCTCCTTCTCTCCTCTCCCTCTTTTCTCGTCCTTCTTATCTCTCTCTCTCTCTCTTTGTTCTTCGTAGCGTACTCTTTTGTTCTTAATGTCGTATGTTCCATGACTCACCTCACTGCCATGAAAGGAGAGCACCGAGGTTTTCATCCGATATCGTCATCTTCTGTGAATCATGCTTCTCACCGGCTCTTTATTCCAAGAATTCTTTGTTGGAATAAACATTGAAACCTTTATAAATAACTAGGAGCATAAACGAGGAGTTTCTCAATACATGAGTGACGTCACAGGATGTCTGTTGTTTCTTAAGGTTTGTGTGAAATGTGGATTTTACATTTGCCTTAGTCCTCCAGGTGCTGGCTGCAGCTGTTTGCTAAGCAGAGATGTGATAACATTTCCTTCATGTGAGTCTGTAATTTAAAAAATGATCAGGAACCCTTCTATTCCTGCCGTCTCTGTGCGTTCATAAAAAGGAGTCAAACTGCTTCAGGAAACATGCAGATTGTTCACAAACATTTTCCACTCGGGTGAACATGTTCTCCCCGTGCACAGCGAGTCTGCTTTGTGTCTTTGCTTTGACTTTGTGTTTGATCGCTGCAAGCAAATCGTTTATTTTTGGGGCTTTTTGTGCCTTTATGGAGAGATGGGAAAGTGGATAGAGTCATATATCAGAGAGAGAGAGAGAGAGTGGGGAATGACATGCAGGAAAGGAGCCAGAGGTCGGCTGAATCTGATGTGTGTTTAGATTGAAAGAAAGCTCTGACATGTTTGATGTGCAGTCAGGATTTCTAGGGTCAGAAACCTCAAACTGATTTGTCTCTCTCTCTCTCTCTCTCTCTCTTCTCTCTCTCTCTCTCTCTCTCTCTCTCTCTCTCTGTCTCTCTCTCTCTCTCTCTCTCTCTCTTTCTCTCTGTCTCTCTCTCTCTCTCTCTCTCTCTCTCCTGCAGGTGAGCGACTCGCACCACCCTCAGTTCTACCCAGCGCCCCCCCCCTCCCACCTCTGTCTCACCTCTCCTCCTGCTTCCCACAAGGCAAACGCTGCCATGTCTCTCCACGCCTCACCCGCCCCCTTCCTCCTCCTCCTCTTCGTCTTCCTACTCCCCCTCCCCCACTGCCAGGCGGAGTCCCAACGCACCGAGCCCAGCAGCGACCCCGACCTGCGGGGCGTCTCCCCCTCCATGTTCCCCTCCTTCTCCTTCCCGCCCTCCTTGTCTTACGCCTTCAGCAACATGTCGAGTAAGAAGAACAAATGTGAGGAGGTGCCGACATGCAAGCCGGGCATCCTGCTGCCCGTCTGGGTCTCCGACAGACAGGGACTCGGGGACCAGGTGGCCCGAGCCGTGGTCTACTTCGTGTCCCTCATGTACATGTTCCTGGGAGTGTCCATCATCGCTGACCGCTTCATGGCGTCCATAGAGGTCATCACATCACAGGTGAGAAGCCCGACCATGAACAGGAATATGTGTACCATCCTGTGTGTAGGGATTTCACTAAATAGTTCTCAACAGTTGATATGAAACAAGTCGTCAAAAAACAAACCTCTCAGTGTGTTTAGTCCTGGACAAACTTTTAAGTATGCATGCATAAGATTTCATTCACATCTAAACCTCCGAGCTCCCTCCCTCCCTTTGATCCCTCCCTTTATCTGTGATTTTTCACACTTAAATATAGAAATCAAGTATCTCCTCTGAAAATAACTCTGTGAGTCATGACTGTCTACAATGGGTGTAACACCCGAGTCCCACTGTCTGTGATGTTTTCAGAGTTTTCAGAGTCCTATCTTCACTTTGTTTACATCGCCAGGACAGCCGGCTGACTCCTCCCCTCACGTATAAAGGTTGTTCATTTAGAGGGATGATAAGCATCGAGTGCATTCATCAAGGAGCCAGCACAATATCAGGGAGGTGACGTCTGGGTTACAGTTGGTGGAAGTTGG